TTCTGCTGTAATATTTGGACATGGACTCTGCAGATGCATGAGCATGTAAATGTAATCACTGTACACAAGTTCTACTGGCTGAAGAAAACCTTTTGCCCTAAGTACAGATTCCTTCACAGGGCCAGGCCCTTTTGTACTGCAAGGTTGGTTTGCCTATACTGACCAGGTTGTAGTGAAACATGATCCATGTCTTTATTTTTTATCTTTGTAGAAGAATCTGTTAAAGCAAGCAATGGAGATCTTCCCAACTCTACACCTGCAGATCCTGTTGTGAAATGATGTGGCTGGTATGGGTGATTACTTACTCAAACAGTTTATGTTCTTGTCATTATCATAAGACTCTGTAGGGATAAAAGCCCAAGATTTGATTCATTTGCTCTGTTAAATCCAAGAGAAAATGTACAGTATTATACTAGCATCCACTGAGGCTAGGTCTGTTTGTCTGTACTTCCTGTAGGAACTTCTATTTTTCAGGAGTTTACATTATTTATAGCACTTTCTTTAGATTGAAAATAATTACATAATGTTGGCCTTGGAGGTAGTTATTTTAAAGTACAGATTAAAAAAAAAAATTCTTACTAATTTTTAGATGCATTCTTGCATCTCTAACATAGCATTTAAAAAAAAAGCAACTCATAGGCCATTGGTCTAAGGTTTGAACTGGTGCATCTCTTCAACCAGAGGAAAAAAAACAACAAATGGCATCAAGATAGTGTGTGTATCTGCTGTCCAACAAACAATCCAGTCATGTCTTTATGCAGTCCTGTTGTATTTAATGAAGTCACAGATTACACTGCAGGTGTAGTAGTGTATGTCGTGAATGTTAAAGCTTTTACACAAAACGAGATCCTTATTAATGTTTGGTAATATTTGCACTGTGGGAACTTAGGATCCTGCCAGGCATTTCTTTTCCCCAGCTGTTTTTTCCCCTGTATCAGAGAATGGGAAAACTAGAAAAGTTAACATAATAAATTACTTCTCATTTCATACCGAAGGTCTGATTTGCATCCACAGAAGTAAGGAAATCCAGAGCCAAGACAGAACCACAATCAGCTCTTCCTTTTATGACCAGACACTGTGTGATGTGTGTCTGTAACTATCAAGTGATCTTACACTTCATGACTATGATGTGCCTAACTGCAAGTTTCAGCCTCAGTTCTGTATTTCCTGGCCTTTGTCAGTCTGTTGTACCGTCTGTGTTGTTCATACAGTCTTACATGCCTGATTATTAACAATAATTGCACTGCAGGCTTCAGAAGCTGCTGAACACTGTGAGAACTCTGTATAAATATGACATCTGTTAATGCCTGCCAGTAGAGGTTCTAGGTGTGCAAGTTACTCAGATTCCTAACTTAAGTAAGTAGCTAGACTTAGCTTAAAAGTAAACAGCACTTTCATTAAAAGATATAGTTGTGTTTTAATCTCCCAGGACATCAAACACTTCATGGTCTTACTAACTAGAATAAACTACTCTAGTCAGTCCAACTGAGAATTACTTCTTGGGGTTGTTTTTTTTTTTTGCACTTTTAATTTGTGTTTTTAGACCATACTTGCCAGCTTCTTTCATCTCTTCTTATTACACAAAGGTAATGTTTTAATGCCTCATATTTTTCCATCCATCTCTGGGTCACTGGTTAAGACTGGTTAATTCCTGATGTACTTCTGATTTGCCCTTTCCTGCCAGTCACATTAGCATTCAGAAAGCTGGGATGAATGTTTTGTTGCAATCTGCAAAGACCAGGCAGGTATGAAAGTCCTTTTGTTGATTCTGAAAACATGACACAGAAGCTTCACGGACTGTTTTTATCAACTGGGCTCATATAAGTTTCTATTTTGAATTCATTATGATTGCCCTAAAAAATGCTGCATTACTTGATTTATACTTTTGTGCTTTTTTTTTTTTTAATGTATTTTTTGGTCATTTGTGTGTGCTTTCTTTTCTTGACTAAACTGTGCCCGCACTGAACGCTCAGTAGCGCTGCTGAGAGCAGCATTCCTG